AAAGCCCCAGTAGATAGTTGTATGTCATAGCTGCACATCCTTCTAGTTGCTGTATGTGGGACTCGGCCTCAGGATGGCCGGAGAAGTGGTGCCTCAATGCGCACCCGGGATCCGAACCCGGGCCACCAGCATTGCAGCGCGCGCACTTAACCACCAAGCCACAGGGCCGGCCCATGGTGTGCCATTTTTAAAACAATTCTTCTATTGATCGTGATCGTTTAAGTTTGTAATTTTTTTTTTTTTTCACAAAAAGAGCAACATGAGTAGAGTGGGAAGGATTTCTGTGAGGTATTGGTCAGTCAAAAAAGCAAGATGCAAAAATGTATTCATAATATTCCATTTTAGTAAAACAATAAAATAACACTGTATTTGTATATATTTACACACATATATATGTTAGTGTAGAAAAGTAAGTCTGGATAAAAATATAGCAAAATGTAATTCAAGGATATATCTAGGGTATATTCTAGATCTCTCTCTCTATATATAGAGGGTACTGCTATTAGTGGATAGGAAGGAAAAGGGATTGGAGGGAGGCAAACTCAAAAGTAAAAGAAAAAAACACTGCACTAAAAAGTTAAAGCATATGTGCTATCATACTTATTGTTATAAAAATTGTGTATAAGGGTAGGCATATGTTTAAGTGAATTAATCTAAGATTTTTTTCTCTGTATTTAAAAATAGCCAGAATGAAAAAAACAAAGAAGAAAATAATGTGTCCAAGGTTGATGCCTAATGACTTAGGTATAACCATTTTTAAAAATAAAATTGGCCATTAAAAAAGAGTTTGTAATTTTTTACTCTTATAAAGGAGACTTTATGAACGTGTTTGCATATGTCTTTATACACTTGTCCAATTATTTCCTAGAGTAAATTGCCAGGAGTACAATTGCTGGGGAAAAAAGGTATTTTAAGCGTTTGATATATATTGATAAATTACCTGTTAGTTAGGTTGTACCTATTTGAATTTCCATCAGCAGTTTATGAGAATGCCTATTTCTTCACAACTTCATCAATGCTAGATACTTTGTCTTTTAAAATCTGTGCTTATGTGACATGTAATAAAATAGCATTTTGCTCTTTTAATTTACTTTTCTTTGATTACTAATTATGTTCATTATCTTTTCATGTTTGTTAGAAGTTTGACTTTTTGTTTTATGAATTGTCCTTTCCCCAGTTCTGTGGGAATTCAACTCTTATTGATTTACAAGGGCTTTTTATATAGAAAGCCTGTTTAACTTTTTATTATATATGTTGCAAAACCTATTTCCAAGTTTACCATTCACATTTTAATTTTGTTTATGATATTTTGAGGTATAAAAGTTTCAACTTCGCCTCAATTCTATTGATCATTTCCTTTTATAGTTTCTGGCTTTTGATCCATGCTTAAAAAGACTTTCACTCAAAGATGATATAAATATTTACTTATGCTTCCTATTAGTACTTTTATAGCCTCATTTTTATGTTAAGTATTTTTATTTTCTAATTTTTTGTGAGGAAGATCGCCTCTGAGCTAACATCTGCCAATCCTCCTCTTTTTTGCTGAGGAATACTGGCTGTGGGCTAACATCCGTGCCCATCTTCCTCCACTTTATATGGGAGGCTACCACAGCATGGCTTGACAAGCAGTGGATTGGTGCGCGCCTGGGATCTGAACTGGCGAACCCCGGGCCGCCGCAGTGGAGTGCGCGCACTTAACTGCTTGCGCCACCGGGCCGGTCCCCACCTGGTTAACCAAGTGGTCCCAGCGTTTATGATTGATTTATCTAGCCAGAAAAAGGCTTGCTTTCTTTAAAATCAGAAAGCATGTCTTCTTTTTTCTCTATTCCTGAATTTCTGGAGGGAAATAGCTAAAATTGGGTGTGTAACTAAAAGCAGAGAAGAAAGAAACCAGGGAATGTAGCAATTCCGAACAGGTTCAGAAGTAACTGTATGACACCCTAGAATCTACGCTTTATGGCTCATGCTACAAGCCTGCCCATGAGACACAGATAAACAGGTGCTTTAGTGAGTACACTCAAATTTTTATGCCCCTTCAGTTTCGTGCCAGAGGTGAGAATAACAAGAAAATTCTCTCAAGATTATTGGACATAATCCTGATTACATTGGATTCACAGCTCTGTGCCTGTCGAAGTTTAAATGGGGAATGGACTTAGTGAAACTCAAGAATTTATGTCTACTTGATTATATAGTATCCTAAGTGATCATATCAGGTTTTAATATCTGAAATAATTTTCCCTTATAGGACAGAGCCATATACTTTTCCTCCTGCTTCTACTAAGTACCAACACATCTCTTCAAAATGTACTGTGAGCACTCAGACTGATTATCGGGATGCCGAAGTTCAAACAGATCCGTATTCTCCAGAATACGTCGTATGTCAGGACTCAATCCCTGAGCTCTTGACCCTGGCCACTCTGACTTGGGGTGAGTTGGTCATTCTTGTGAATATTTGCAGATGGCAGTCTGATAACTGCATGCTATTGAGTTCCTGGAAATGACGCACACAGAGGCAACTGTGGTTTAAAGTGTTGCTATTTAAAGTGTCTTGCTCAGTAGAACTGTTTCAGAGTCTCATACGTTTTATAATAGTTTTGTTCAAAGAGAGATATGCCCTTTTCACTGTAAGGAGGCTTATTGTGCTCTGTCCCTGAAACTGAAGTTATATTTCAGCTTAATTTTGTTGTTGCTTTGCTGACTACTGGCCTCCCTCCTCTCCCTGTTTCTCCCAGTGAATCAACTCCTTTTCATTGAGCAACCCATACTCCTTCTTTACTTATAAACCTTTTTTGTGTGTACAATACTGGATGCATATTCCAACATATGTAATAATATTATCTTATTTTGCCAAAATATCTTGCAACTTATCAAATCTCTCTTACATACCTTATTGGATGATTTGGATGATTTCTTTTGATATTATCTCTGAAATCTAATATCTTTCAGGCTCAGAAATTCACTCTTAGAATGCAATAAAATCTGGCCTAGGGCTATATTATGTGAAACTATAAAAATTGTCAAGAGAAGGGGCCTTTAGAAATTATTAGAAATTAGCTTATTGAACTCACTTGGTTGTAGTTGGGAAACTGAGAAGCAGAGAGACTGACTCCTCCAAGGTCGTGGAGATAGTTGATACACTGTAATGATTTTTATTAAAATGAGATCACTTTTGTTTCCCCATTGTAGTGGATAGCTGGATCAAGTCTGCATCACAGGCAGTGAAGATGTTCATGTCTGAGCTCTGGTTTTGATTCTTGTTTCCTGGCTCACTTTATGCATCCAGGTTAAGCATTCTTGACACCCATGATCTAAGGCGGAGGCTCTACTCTCAGGCCTAGATGACAGATTAAAAATATGCTGAAACCTTTCCTTCTGCTCTGAACACATAAAAAATATATTACAAAAAATTAGTAAACACATAGCTACACTTAAAAACAAGGAAGAAAATAGAGACTTCTTCCAGAAGAAACAAATAGCTGGGAGCCTAGGATGATAAGCAGGGACTATGAATGGTGGGGAGCCAGATCCGAGTCACCTGCCTGAACTAGAGGAAGCAGAGTCTCCTGCCCACAGGTGAGACTGAAGCCCTGTGCCTGCCAGTCTAAGATCGTAGCCAGAGCTGAGTCAGGTGTTCCTGCCTGGGGTCTTGGGCTTTGCCTTTTGGTGTGATATGGGCTTAGCATTGAGCTGCAGAGGCACCAGAGCAAGGCCCTTTAAAGCAAGAGATCTAGGCAGGGGCTCAGCAATGCCTCACTAGGAAAAAAAGCCTAATCTGGAGCCATGCCCCTGGCAGCTCTGAGATCGAAGTGTCAATAAAAAGCTCTATGAGTCAGGCCTACCCCCTGGTTTGTGAGGCCCTGGGTTGAGATTCAAATGGAGGCCCACATACCATATGTAAAGATGTTTAAAAATTATAAATCAAGCTAACATCTGTTAAGTAAAATACATTCTGTAATTTTTACAAATATATCTTTGTAACAAGTTGAAAGGACAAGTTTAAATTTAGAATTCTTAGACTCCTGGGGATTCTATGCTGAAATGTGGCAGCAAGGGGAGAGGCTTGTGGCGTGCCCTCTTCACTTCCCACTCGGGCTCTGTTCCACATCGTGAGGGGCTTGACATGCATGCCTGTGGTTACCCCACCTTGCTTTTCCAATCTCTGTTCACACATCCCTGAAAACAGCCACCACGGGGCCATACCCTGGGCTTTAGGCTAAACCAACAGCAGCGTATAGTCTGCCCTCAGGAGTCTGAATCCCGGGAGGAGGCCCATGTAGACTTTGGAAGCAGGCTTGGGGCCATTTGTGCAAGGAATTCCAGGGTCTCGAAGGGTAGGAGTAGCTCCAGGTGGGCATAGTCCCTTGGACTCCTCACCCTGTGATGATGGGCAGGGCTCTAAAGAATGAGGCTGGAGAGCTGTCCCTCTTGCCAAGTCAAAGAGTGCTACTGCCCAGGGTGCTCCTGAGAGAAATCTGTAGATGATCTCAATCCAAGAATCACAAAATATCTAAGAAACAGACACCAGGAGTGAGCCACAAAAAGTACAGAAAATGGAAGAATAAATTCCTGAAACTAACAGAGTCAATGGAGCAATCTGAAAAGGACTTAGGAAGTACTTTTTATATCCTCAAAGAGATAAAGGGGAAATAGCAACAATGAAAACAAGAATGGGAGCTATGAAAAAGAGCCAATTGGAATCGTTGGGAAGGAAAACTATGAAGTTTGAAATAAAGTGAGCTCAGTAGTAGAATAGACCAAGCTGAAGAGCAAATTAGTGAAATGAAAGATTAAAGGAACAAGTATTCCAGAATGCAACATACAGAGGAGGAGTGAGAGAAAAGAAAAGGGAACAGCTATGGGGGGTAAGATTATAAGATCCAGAAATTGAGAATAGAGAGAGTGGTGGGGAGGCAGTGCAAGAAAAGATAATGGCTGAGAATTCCCAGAACTGGAGAAAGACATGAGCACACAGATTGAAAAATTCCATTGAGTACCAAGCAGGATAAATTTTTTAAAATTCATACCTAGTAATACAGGAAAAAGAAAAAACTTCAGGGGCCGGCCCGGTGGTGCAAACAGTTAAGTGCGCACGCTTCACTGCGGCGGCCCGGGGTTCGCCGGTTCAGATCCCAGGCGTGCACCGACATACCGCTTGTCAAGCCATGCTGTGGCGGCGTCCCATATAAAGTGGAGGAAGATGGGCACAGATGTTAGCCCAGGGCCAGTCTTCCTCAGCAAAAAG